TGTTAATTATACTAGGAAGCATGTTGAAGGCTCTTGGTCTTGCCCAACCACACCCTACCAAGTGACAAATTGACAACTTGATGGTAAACTCTTATTTTGGTCTCTGCAAGAAAGTGTTTGGAATCCAGTTGATGCTTCCCTTGATAGTTAAATTAGAATTAGGAACTAACTAGTTAATAAGTGGTCCAAGATGCTACCCCATGTGAAGGGTACTATATAAATGCAAGTTGTTATAATGATAATAATACAATATAATACAAATTTACATTTATATTACTGCCTTTCATGTCAGGAAGACATCCCAAAGTGCTTAAGAGAACTGGCTGTAATAATACTTCTTGCATTTCATATAGCTGGTATAAAAGTCAAGAACGTCAACTTGAACTTCAGTTGTGTATTTGTTGACAATGTCAATATGCACAGAGCGAAGTACCATAAACAGCCACGAAGTACGTGACCAATTGATCTGGAGGATTGTTGGGAGGGGCACTGGGAGAAACTCACTTGTCTTTTCGAATAGACCAGGGAGTTTGTCAGAGGACAGCTTCTCTGATAAGAACACTTCTCTCCCATATTGCTTTGGAGTGTCAGATGAGATTGAGGTTCAAAGTCCCATTGTGGGGCTTGAACCTAGTCTTCTAACTTAAAGGCGAGAGAGCTACCAACTCATCACCTGGGTAGGGCATCATGGATATTAATCTGCCCCCTCCCGCTCTGCAGCACAGTATATTGGAGCTGAAACATTGTGCACTGGCACACCTTTCTTCTCCCCCCATGTCTTAACCCTAACCCCCCCATTGTCCTCAGACTCCAGCGTTGAAGAATGTCCATCATGCATCATTGAGCTCTTGTGCTGGTTGTATTAAAACTGACTGCAGAACAGGTAATTTCTTTTCAACCACTGTCTCAAATTGTTTTTTTTATATAATCTAAGGAACATTTTTCTGTCTGTACTAGTAAAATGGTGAAACATAGCTGGACCAACCCTGGTATTGTAATGGAACCATCATGGGAATATTCATAGTCATAAATCAAGACCGCTTTGAAAACTGTCTTTGCACTTGAAATAAATGAACATATTACATGTGGTCATTACAGACGAGTGCGTATGATTTGGTGCGAGTTTTTCATTAAAGGCTGACAAATTGGTTAAATGTGCAATACATTTCATGTGTGAGCCCTGTAGCTCAGTGGTTAGAGCACTCGCCTCACAAGCGTGAGACCTGGGTTCAATTCCTGCCAGGGTGAAATGTTGGGCAAGTTTCCTTACTTCACACACCTCTGTTTACCTAGCAGTAAGTAGGAAGCCAGTTGTTAGTTGATTGGCGGATCACTTTTCTGGGGGTAATAATTCCTTTTTTTTTTAAAAATTAGTCATTTAATCCATGACTGTTGGGACCCAGCTGTGCGCAATTGGCTGCCGCATTTCGCCCACAAAATATACTTTACATTTCACTTTACTTTACAGTATACTTTACAGTATATTCTGTGAAGCGCTTTGAGATGTCTTGAAGACATGATAAGGTGCTATGTCAAATGCAAGAATTATTATTATTTCAAATGTAATATATTGGATTTGTATATTTTTTAAGAAAAGTGGCACAGATTATTTCTCAACACGCTTTTGCAATTTTTCTCCAAAATGCTTTTGATAGTTTGCAGCTCTTATTCTGTTCAGGATAAGAAAAGGGCTGAAGTCACAAGCTGTCAATTATTTCCATCTTTAACTGCTAGCTTACTGAGTTACAAAGATCTTATTCACTGTTTGTTTGAATGCTATGGATCTAAGAAAGACTGATCTGTAGCAAAATGATTTACGGAATAATAACTAAACTACAGTGCATTAGGTTAATCAAGAAAACTCAATAGGAGCATTGTGTATTTTGGTGGGAAATTTATATTTAAAAAATTCTTTATTTGAAGCCTAAAACAATACCGCTATATAGAAGATGAATTCCTTTCCCAGCAGTTAATATTGTATGATACTGTTACATCTCTGGAACCTCAATTCTTGTCATTTAATCCAAGTGCTGATGTGAATGATGTTGATGTGAGATGCTAGCCTGCATGAAGGGTGCTATATAAATGCAAGTTGTTATTGATGAATTATTACAATCTCAGGGACAGTTTTCAAAACTGCATCAAACTATGCTTACTTTAGTGGTAGTCAATTCTGGTATTTGTGTGGACAACGTGTGCTGTAACATATTTATTGAATTAATTTCACATAAGTGATGACAATGAAAGCCTGTTTTATAAAATTAAGTACCAACACTGATTCAGAATAACTAGAGTTGAGTTGCTTTTAGCCATGGAAATCGCAAAGAAACATTCGAAGAACTTGTGAATTTTCATTTTTACAACACCTTATTAGGTTGAATTTCCTCAAAGCACCTTATCATGCATAAACGGTCAGTATTTCGAATGAAGAATTAATCTGAAGAATAGGTGACCAGGTCACAGGAAATAATCTCTTCCTTTTTTCAAATAGTATGAGATCTTTAGTGTCCACCTGAATAGGCAGGTAGAATCTCAGTTAAATGTCTCATCCAAAATATTTTCAGACGTGCTACACGTTCAACAATATGGTACTGCACTTGTGTCATTTTAGATTGTGAGGTCAACCCCTGATGTGGGGTTTGTACCCACAGCCTTCTGACTTACAAGCAATTGTGCTACCATCTGAGTCAACCTAATGCATAGAATAATAAAGTCTACACATATAAGTAAAATCACTTTAAAGCCTGTTCTACCGAATAACTGACTCTGCTCTAACTAAAGTCCAACATCCCAATAATGCTTGGAGTCAAATGGCAAAGCAAATATTTGTGGCAGTAACAAAAAAAATAAACTGACAAAAGTAGCAAAATAAACAGACTTTGATAAAACTCTGGTGAAAATGCTGAAGAAACAATTTTTATTTGTCAGCCGGATGTCTGACGCATGCGGAAACTCATCACCATGCTTAAGTAGCCAAACCAAACTGAGAATTCCATGCATCCCACCTACATGTGGAAATTCCAGAGATATTTGTTGGAACGGAACGTGCATTCTCTCCCTGGAGGGATGCATCCTGCTTACCTAATTCTGTAAAGCCTTAATTCTGGAAGGCACAGATTGGCAAGAGCCAAGGCTTGGAGACTCAAACTTCCTGGCTCCTTCCTCAAGGATATCTCCTCTCTCCTCTCATCCCTGCCCCTCTGCACTGAATGCCTGTTCATCATGGGCGACTTCACCCTTCATCTCAATTCCTCCTACCCCATCTTCTCTGACTTCACTTCCCTCGTCTCCACCCTAAACCTAACCCTCCATATTAAATCCCCAACCCACAACTGTGGCCACCCCCTTGACCTCATCATCACCCATGCCCTAGATATCACTGATCTGTCCATCACAGACAAGGCCATCTCTGACCACTTCTTCATCTCCCTCTCCTTCCGTATGCCACTCCTTTCCTCCAAGCCCTCCACCATCTTTTTCCGCCCATAGAAAAAGCTTCTGAGTCCCTCACAAATGTCCTCTCATCCTCAGACCTTCTCTCCCTCTCGCAATCCACCCCCAGCAATTCGGACCCAGCCGTCAAGCTACTAAACAGTCGCCTCCCCTCCATCTTTAATTCCCTTGTCCCCCTGAAATCCAGGACCGAACAATAAATTAGTCCCTCTCCTCAGGCTCAGTTCCACTCCCATTCAAAACAGCTGTCATCACTCCCCTCCATGAAAAAAACATATCTCGATCCCTTCAACCTCGTGCACTACAGTCCCATTTCAAATCTGCCCTTCTTTGCTGAAGGTCTGGAACGTGTTGTTGCAAACCAATTTCACTCACCCCTCGCCCTTCACTCCCTACTTGAACCCCTCCAGTCTGGTTTCCGCCCAGCCCATGGCACAGAGACAGTGCTCGTCAAAGTAACAAATTATGTCCTTTCCCTCCGACTCTCTGCTTCCTCGTCCTCCTGGACCACTCCGCTTTGTTCGACACAGTCCTCCTCCACCACCTCTCCTCCCTCATCTACCTTAGTGGGATCGCATTCGCATTGTTCGAGTCCAACTTAACCCACAGCCAACACTTCATCTTGGCCAATGTTTTTTCCTCTCCACCCCCCCCCCCCGGTCACCTGCAGGGTACCCCAAGACTCTATCCCTGCCCCTGCCCCAGTGACTAGTCTGCCCTTCCAAGTGCTGCCGATGAGCCAGGCTGTCTTTGCTGTCATCTGCAGTGCCCTGGAGCCGGCTGGCTCAAGAACTGGACTCCCAAGACCACCACAGAGGTTCGGCTCAATTCAGACATTCTGTTGCCAAGTATGTCACTTTGCAGCCAGTTCAGCTCCAAGGAGACCCTGCTTACATCACCCAAGGAGGATACAAAAAATAAACAGAAACAAATTGCTGGAATATTTTCTAAAGCAAGGTTCCAGCTTTATGACGTTATCTAAATCCTTCAAAATAATACATTCCATCAATTTATTAGATCTTGGCGGATCTTTTAACCTAATGTCCTGCTCTTTTTACCATACTCTTTAATACCTCTACTGCCCAGGTATCCATATGTCAGTCAGCCTGGCGCAGTGGTAGCACTCTCACCTCTGAGTTAGTAGGTTGTGGGTTCAAGCCCCACAATGGATACTTCGAATCATATAGCCTATGCTGACACTCTAACCAGTGTTATGGATCTTCAACATTCGCTTGAAGAGCAGATAAGACTGCTTGGTGAGTTCAAGGTCCTGATGTGGGCCTTGAATCCACAACGTGACTCAGAGGCAAGAGTGCTGCCAATTGAACCAGGCAGGCTGACACCTGCCAATGTGAGTTTTTACAGCAAGCTATGCTAGCCTAGGATATCCTCACTTGTAACATTCCTAAAATTAGGCATATCAATGGTGTAACTCATTGATATAAATATGTGGAATGGTGCAACATTAAACTGTAGAGAAATCAGTGAAGTGCTTAATCTGACATTGTTTTAAAATTTTAATTTATCATTCCTTTTTTTAAATCTAGGAAATCCAGATTTCAAAGACACAGAGGACCAGTTTGGCCGTACACCACTCATGTACTGTGTGCTTGCTGACAGACTGGACTGTGCTGAAGCACTTCTTAAGGCAGGAGCTAATGTTAACAAAGCAGATCGAGGTCAGAGGACAGCATTACATCTTGCGGCACAAAAAGTGAGTTTTGTTAGAATTATCTGCTTTTAACATCACTAAAGGTTAGTGACCACAAATTGTAATTTGCAGTTATAATTTCTAGGGCCTTGGTACATCCTCAGAACGTGAAAGCGCTACAAAAATGTCATTTGATGTTGTTGTCTGTTTGTCTGTTATGTGCTGGATTGGATTATATAAAGAAGATATGGGGAGGGGAATAAGTGGTATTTTCAAAAATATATATTTTGGTCTTGCAGTAACAAGTAGAAAAACATCTGGCTAAAGCAAGACTGGAGCATTTTATACCATCTGAAAGTATTGTACTGTCTTGGGAACAACGATTTGACATATTAACCCAATCACAGTGTTTCACAATTGTTCCAATATGTTCAAGTTGTACTTCAGGATGAGAGCTGCATTTTCTGGAACAGTCATTTTTTAAATGTTATTAATCCCTTTATGACATGCCCGTATTTCATTCTTATGGAGTCCCATAGCGTAGAGATTAGCATGCTCGCCTTGCAAGCAAGAGGACGCGGGTTTGATTCCCAGGCGGGGCGCAACCTTAGGCAAATTTCTTTATTCCATACGCCTCTGCTTACCTAGCAGTAAGTAGGAACCCGGTTGTTAGTCGATTGGCGGATTGCTTTCCAGGGTAATAACCACTCAAAAAAGAAAAAAAAAATGGTCACTCAATCCACAACTGTTTGTGGATACTGCTGTGCGCAATTGGCTGCTCATGTTTAACAAAATACATAGCCAATCCACTTACAATATATTTTGTGAAGCACTTTGAGACTTCTCAGCGACGTGGTAAGGCGCTACAATGAATGAAACGATTATAAGGACTGTTACAGTAAGATCAAGAAAGGCTTTCAAGGTCTTTCTTGGTCTCCCTGTACCGCTTACTCTACCTGAGGGCAAGAAGACAGCTACACTGGAATTTGAATAGCAAGAAGAAGCTGGGAATTCCTTCCCTTGTCCTGGCACCTTCTATCCCATGGGACGTCACTCAGCGCCTTCTTATATGAACCCATTTCTATGACTGCTTTTGGACACTTCTCTCCTTCTCAGTTGGGTGAAGCACTATGAGAAGCCCCCTTGATGTGAAAAACAGACACCATGTACATGTAAATTGTTGTTTCATCAAGAGTGTTGTTCTTTCAGTAGGTTGAGCCACAATGCTTCAGAAATATAGATCACATAGATCTGAAGTGTGTTTAATCAGATTTTAACAATTGATTTGTTCAATCACATTTGTGATATCTACTCCTTCATGCAGAGCCACATACTTTGGCTTTAATTTCGAAATGTTGCATGGGAACAAATTTACCATCTCGATCAATTTTCTTCCTGTAATTACTGGTTTGCTATGGTAATATCTTTTTTCACCTTTTACTCAGTAACACCAACAGGTTTGCTGACAGATCACGACAGTGATTGTTGTTGTATTCCGTAGGATTATTCAATAAAAAATTGTTTTATTACAATATTTGCATTTGATATATATCTTATCACGTCCCTGAAACATCTCTTTAAGTGCTTCTTTACAGGATATATGTAAAGTAAATTGACTGTATATTTTGTGGGTGAAACGCAACAGACAATTGCAGACAGCAGAGTCCCACAAACAGTTGTGGATTGAAGTGACCGATTTGTTATTATTTTTTTTGAAGGAATTATTACCCCCGGAAAAGTAATCCACCAACTGATTAACAACCGGGTTCCTACTTACTGCTAGGTAAACAGAGGCGTGTGGAATAAGGAAACTTGCCCAACATTTTGCACTGCCAGGAATCATACCCAGATCTCTCGCTTGCGAGGTGACTCCTCTCACCACTGAGCTACAGGTCTCCATGATAAACAGCCATGGAATGAGTGACCAGTTTTATTTGGAGAATTGTTGGCCACAACACCAGAGAAACTGGGATAGGATCTCTTACATCCACCATGACATGCAGATGGGACCATGATTTAACATCTCATCTGAAGGACAGTACTTCTAAAAATGCAGTACACCCCGCAGTATTGCATTGGAGTGTCAGTGTTAACTGTGTTATTGATTTATTATTGGTTATGTATAAATTGCGATGCTTTTCTGCACATAGGCTTCACTCAGTCAGGTCAAAGTTGCTGATTCAATGTTGTGAATTATGTAGCATATGTCAGCACTTGCTGATGGTCAATCTGACTGGAACCAAATATTCAGTCAAATCCTCAGTTCTACTGCAGTTTGAAGTCTCTGCCTTGGTTATATTTGGATGATTGGATCATCTTTTTCATTCCCTTTATACTCCTGTTGCATACAGTTTGAAGCTACCTAGAATTGGTTTCTTGTGTCCTACTTTAAGCATTTAAGTAGAATAATTCTGAATGAGTTAAATCCATGTTATATTCTATTGCAGTATACAGCTAGTGCTAAATACTGTATGTAGAATTAGATTTCCTCTGGAAATTTGGTATTTGGAAAATACAGTAAATTGATGGCTTACTGGACTCAGGGTATCTGGAAGGGATCTGAGAGATGAGAATAATCTATGAATACATTTCATGCCAGATGAACATCAGTGTCTTTATCAGCCTGTACATTCCTATGTTCATATCTGTAAAAAACTGGATTTAGAGGACTGTTGATTTAAGCTACGACAAAAATGTTAGCACTGTTGTAAGTAAATTGCAGTCAGTGTTTCATCCTATATTTCATCCTATATAAGCACTCTGAGATGCCGCCCGCATGGAGGGCGCTAGATAAATCCAAGTTGTTGTTGTTTCACTGTTTTACAAGAAGCACCAAGTACATTCAGTATGTTCGCAGAAAACAGTAGTTTTAGTGATGTGTGGGCATTCATGCTGTTCATTGAAAAGCAGATTGAATTCCAGTCACTCTTTTTTTTACCATCTGAAAAGAGCAAACACAAGGAAATTCTTCACACTTCTAAGGTTGGGAATTCCACTATATGCTTCTGTTCACACATCGTCGGTATTCATTTGGAGAAATTGGGAATTCTCGCCCCAAGTGTATACAGTACATATAAACATTCAGGACCAGGTCTTTGTACACATTTGTGTCTGCTAGGAGCAGTTCTTACCAAATACCATTATAAATAAAGTAATTGTTTTTTTAAAAGAAGTAGCAAAATCTAGAAGGTTTACAGAATTTTGGAAATCATCTTAGGAAATTGTGATGTGGCTAAAAGATACTGTATATCCTTCAAGATTTTTTCAAATTATCTTTAGTAAGATTCCCAATTATTCCACTAGGTATAATTTTTAAACATTTGTCTCTAATTTGTTTCAGGAAAAATGCACCAGTTAAAATTTTTATAATACTGATCACCAGTGCAATGAAATCTTCAGCTGCCCAATGGTACATTTGGCACAGTGGATTTTCACTTGTTTGCAGTGCAATAGAGGAGATGCATGGTATGTCTTTAGAATTTTAATCATATACTGCAAGTGTACATTGTGGAGTCCTGTAGCTCAGTGGTTAGAGCACTCGCTTTGCAAGTGAGAGACCTGAGTTCAATTCCAGGCAGGGCGAAACCTTGGGCAAGTTTCCTTACTCCACACGCCTAATAATAATCCCTCCAAAACCAAAAACAGTAATAAAATTGGCATTTTCAATCTACGACTGTTTGTGGGACATTGCTGTGCGCAATTGGCTGCCGCGTTCGCCCACAAATTTAAAGTCAATTCACTTTACAGTGTGTTCTGTGAAGCGCTTTGGGACGTCCTTCCGACGTGAAAAGCGCTATATCAAATGCAAGGATTATTATATTATTATTATTATTTGTTTCTACAAGGAACTATTCCATTCTGGTATTCACATTGAAACCATTTATAAAACATGCTGTGGGAAATGTCACTTTGTGCCATTCACTCAAATAAGAATTATATGCTTGTTTTAGGAAGATTTGGTATGATTGCAGATAGACCTGTCAAGACTCCCAGTTTAATATAATTTAGTTGAAGAGTGAATTGAAATTGCTGGCAGCAATGTAAGAAATGGTGACTTGCTCTATTTTGTACCTAACACAGTTTTGTTGCTGTATTTTGTGTTTCTGTCATTTGACAGTGATCAGAACCCAGTATCTCTTTTCTTTCATTAATAATAATATTAATATTCCTTGCATTTGGTATAGCGCCTTATGATGTCATTGAGCCATCTCAAAGTGCTTCACAGAATATATTGTAAAGTGGATTGACTGTATATTTTGTGGGCGAAACGCAGCAGCCAATTGCGCACAGCAGTGTCCCACAAACAGCCATGAAGTAAAGCATCTTTAAACTTAAAAGCTCCATGCAGAGCTGTTAACGTGATTTGGATTTTGAGAGTTCTTAACCAGTTTCAAAACCTAAGACAGCAAAGTGTGATTTTAAGTAAAAGGTGAAAACAAGACTTGAGAAAACTACATGGTGGAGAATCATGGTTGAGATATGCGCCTGTCATGTCGGCACCTATTGACAAATGCAGCCTATTTTTGATATTGTGTCCCTTGATGATAATTACCATTCAAGTTTCTCTTTGCGGCTCAGATGCCTTAATTGTTCTGGCCTTTAATTCAGTGAAAGTTGGAAAAGCAGCACAGGAAAAGGAGGAGGAGCAGGCCCTATTGCCAGTCTGGCAGAGCATACAGCCTGAGCTGCTGGGAACAATCAACCTGTCATAATGTTATGATTTGTTCATTTTTATACCTTTTATTAGCCTTCTCTTGTTGTGCCATTTGGCCTCTGGGCCTCTGAAGTGCTGTCTAATTTGAGAGGTTTGCTTCTGTCAGAGTGGCCTCAACAGGGGCAGTGTTAACTGTAGTGACAAATAATCAATACCTGTCCTTGTCATGTGGAACGTGTGTACTTGGGCCTTTCATCTGGAGGATTAGAGGTCTAATTGGATTGAGAATAGCAAAGGTGGGCTGTTGCTCAGCCCTGTCAGTGCTGTGGAGCTGTCAGTTGTCATCCTTATTCATACCTGAGAGAGCAGTGACGGGCAGAACTTTCAGTGTTTTGGAAGCAAAGTATAA